GGAAGAGGAGGAAGAATCCGAGGGTGACATGGTAAGTCGCCATGGTTGTGAATCATCAGTCTATCCTAATGGATCTTTCCCAGGGCTTCGGTCTGTTCGACTAGACATTATCTGGTATTACTATGCTCTGTATCGATGCACGCTCAAAATACATCGCGGTTCGCAACCGCGTTACTGTATTGTCTAATGAACCTTGTTTGATTTTGGCCGTATAATAATTGTGACGCGTGATTCTTTCGTGAGAGTGCGGTATACCGGTGTGCCGACAGCGCTTGATCCTTGCCTCCGTTGGATTTGAACGGATTCGATAGCCTTTCCGTTCTCCTTAGGATTCTCACTGCACCACCACCTGAGGGGGTCCGGCGGAGGGGAAAAAACTGTCGAAGTTTGCTAGTTCAGTAACATGACCAAGGCTGAGACTCCACCCCTCTTATGACGCCGCTACTGACAAACACAGCGAACTTGCGATGATGCCACAGATATAAAAGATATCGCGATTACTGTCGGCCTCCGGAGTCTCTCGCCCACATCGATTTTCGTACCACTAACTCTCACAACGAATTGACATGCCTGCTGTCACAACAGGAAAAGTTCTCGTTACCGGCGCGAACGGCTACGTCGCCGTCTGGGTCGTGCGCACTCTGCTTGAGCAGGGCTACGTCGTTCGCGGAGCTGTGCGATCGGAAAGTAAGGCTGCACATTTGCGCACGGTGTTCGCATCGTACGGCGACAAGCTCGAGCTGCTCGTGGTCCCGGACATTACAAAGGCAAGCATGCGTCCACCCTCTCGCACGACTTCATCTTCATGTACTCACACTGTCCCCAGGCCGGCGCGTTCGACGAGGCGGTCAAGGGCGTCGATGCCATCGAGCACACCGCGTCGCCGTACCACTTCAAAGCGGGCGATCCGGACGAGCTCATCGTCCCCGCGCTGCACGGCACGACGCGCGTGCTCGAGTCCGCGCTCGCATACGGCACTGCCGTTAAACGCGTCGTCATCACCTCCTCCGTCGCAGCGGTGATGCGCATCGAGGAGCAACCGCTGACGCTGTCCGAGGCGGACTGGAACGACCAGGCCATCGTCGAGGTGCGCGAGAAGGGGCGCGGCTCTAGCCAAGCGGCCAAGTACCGCGCGAGCAAGACACTCGCCGAGCGGGCCGCATGGGAGTTCGTCGAGAAGAATAAGGGCGCGATCGGCTGGGACCTCGTCGTGCTCAATCCGCCGTTTGTCTATGGCCCCGCATTGCACGAAGTCGACAAGCCCGAGGCGCTCAATGAGAGCATGCACAGCTGGTTCCACAGCGTGTTGAAGAATCTGCATGACCCAAAGCAGCTGGGGGTGATTGGGTGGGTGCATCCTTCGTTTACTTATCGCGGGGTGTTGGCTGATTAGGTCATCCAGCGGAGAGTGGATTGATGTGCGGGACCTCGCGCAGGGTCACGTCCTTGCAATCCAGAAAGAAGAGGCAGGTGGAGAGCGGTTCGTCGTCACGCAGGGCCCTTGGAAGTGGCAGGACTGGAGTGCGTGAAATGTATAGCATTTATAGTGCAGCTGCTGACGAGTTGAGTTCCCCGAGTACAGTCAACGCTGCAAGCGAATACGGCGTAACCACCTCAACTGGCGATGATTCTTACGACCCTGCGAAGGCAACGCAGCCGATAAGATACGATGCATCGAAGGCAAGCAGGGTGCTTGGAATCAAGTACCACTCGATCAAGGAAACCACGCGCGATATCCTCGATGACCTCAAGTCCAGGAAATGGATCTAATCTGCGGTAGTGGAGTCAATCTTTGGTTGGATTGATTCAGGTCGGCTGTAGAAACGCAAGGAAAGAAATCAAATCTGTATAATATGGCTGTTTTTGTAGCGATTGTGAGCAGGATGTTAGGAGTTGGCCTCTCGCCAGATGCCCTCCAAATACTCCCCTAAGTCTATCCGACGCGCACGAGCTTGAATGCTACAAATGCTACTCGAATCCAGAAATTTGAAGATAGGACCAAGAGGATCTACTATGAAAGATTCTCTTTCCAGATGACAGCATCTGGATTGTTGCTACGCACTTCCACATTTTCGAGATTTGGGAATAAGCCAAGCACAGCGGCGACAGCTTCTCTTGGGTCACCGCCGAGAGAGGAATGGCCTAAGATTAGCGTCGTGACTGTCCTGTTCGGTATAACGTCACTGGAGAAGTCCCCTTGGGGCACGTTGGACCCTGATACATTGAAATCAATCCCCAATGTCTGTAGGTTGTGGCAGTGTCGCGCAAGTGAGACCACACCATTCCAGGTAATAGCGGGCGAGAACGGAGGCACAATGATGACCTCGCGATTGAATGAGAGCTCTCGGATTTCTGGCCAAGCAGCTGCCATATCCTCGAGGTCCCGGTCATTCAAGTGCACGTTAGGAGCCAAATGAACCACGAGCCGCTGGAGAGAGCTGAACACGTACAGCCAATGAAATGAGGCAGATTCGGATGTCAGCTCAGGTCTGCTATCTGTGGCATTGATGGCGATACGTCCGACTGTGATATGAAGCTCTTGTAGCGCTGTATGCGAACAATGGTCATGCAGAGCTCGGAAGAAGAGTCCGATAAGCTTGGGGATGTCATGGGAGGCCGTGACGCTGATGTATCGCAGACTACTGTAGTGCGAGAGCTCCAGAATAGATTTGCAAGGCGAGAGTGTGTGCGACAACAGCTGGAGGTTGATTAATCCAGGCGGTGGAAGTATGAGTGGGCCTGGCAGCACAAACTCGCGGCTGTTCAGAATAGCTTCATAACGAAACATTTCCAGCTGGGGCAAGCATCAAAGCTTCCTTGAATACGTAGTATGGGATGGGTAAGTCAGAGTACAACGTAAGTTCACGTAGATTCCGGAGGGCCGACAACGTCCCAGGCGGAACTGCAAAAGAGTTGGGACGGCCGCCGACGTCACGGCCTATGCCGGGCCAAAGGTGGAGGCTAAGTTTGCAGAGTTCAGGTAGAAGTTTTGGAATGCGCGCAATCAGCGGCAGTGTTTCCGCGCACGAGATATCGAAGGAGAGGAGCGTCAAGGAGGACAATTGTGGTCCATAAAACATCTCGATAAAGGGAAAGCTGGTGACATGGAAGAGGCGAGACCAACTTAAAGTCTGCACATTGGGCAGAAGGGGTGCAGACGGTCGACACTGTCTGATGGCAATGTACACATCGTCCAAAAGCCTTACAGGAGAAATCATGCGCTCTCGCTCAGGAGAGGAGATTGCTCTGTACGCAAGTACACTCCGAACGCGGTACGCATAATAGTCGAAGCGTTCCCAGTCATTTGGGACGACTGGCCTGACGAATTTCTAGAGGGAGTCCATTGAGCGAACACGCAGTCATAGCACATTACGTACCAGGCCCGACATAATTTCTTCCCATAGGTCTAAAGGCATGCATTTTATAAGATTGACTATGCCAATCTGTGTATGCCAGAGAGCGTTGAGCGCAGCTTCGTGAAAGGCATGGGATGTTCGTGCCAGTGCTGCTAGGCTACAATAGTCGGTAAATTGCCCTTCTGTCGGCAAGAACTGTGCTACAATCAGGACGATAATATCTGGGGTGAGCAATGCATGGTGCATGACATGGAGTTCTGTACCAGCAATGCTTCAAAGCAAGATAACGACAAGCTTCGGGCTCGAATAAGCTACAGCCTCTCCACGGCTCCGGCATTCCCCGGCCGACCGTACAATGTCACCGGCACTGTAAGCTGACAATTTGCTCTCCGTTGTAACTCTTATTTACCGACTTCGAGGTCTGCGGAGCTGATCCAGACCCTGCAGAGACGACTGCCAATGTCTTCATAGACTTTGTTTTCTCTTTAGAATCATGGATGGACAAAATCTGCAAGCATCATATAGAGTGGAATGCAAGATAGACGTCGTCATGATGTCTATCTCCTGCCCGCACAGTCCTACCTTTCGGCTCTCACTGACATCGCCCTTTTATGAAAAGGTTCTCACAGTATAGCGCAGCCACATAGTCAAAAGATACGACCGTTCAAGCCAATGCTTGAAAAATCCCAGATCCATTCGTAAGACCAGGCCACATTCAAAACATCGATGATAGTACAGATGAACTTCTCCAACAAGAAAATTTACCCCTGGCGACTGAACGCTAGCAAACCGAGATCTAAACCCAATGGGAATCCGTCCACCAGTCCTCCAGTGTCCGTCAAAACTCCCTCGGTTGCTGGGGCCCAGCAATTCGGATCTACATACGGGTGGAAAAGTGTTTTATCAGGATGACGCTCGTGACGACTTTAATGTCCAGGTTCCTCAGTGATGCTGCTAACCTTAGGCTGGGTTACAGGCAAGGGAGTCAACGCCGATGACATAATCGACGAGGACACCAGCTTGCATGAAATACGAGCTTCCAAGAGGACGACGACGCCATGCACCGCCGATCTTCGGGACTTCGGGCTTGCCAGCCACCCCACGCTTTCGTGGTGCTGATGAAACAGATGCGTCGACGTTCGGATAGTTTTCTCCAACCTTGATCTGAAGAGGACCGGAAGGCTTTCCAGCAGTTTTGTATGCGTGCCTCACCATGCTAAAACAACGCGCGAGATCAATATTCCGACAGAAGGGAAAGAGGGGTGATCCCTACGATGAAAAGTATGTCCTCCAGATGAGGTTAGCATCAATCCGCTGACCATCTTGTATCGCCTTGCCGTTCGAATACCAGCTAATGGCGAGCTGACAATTCCAGCCCGCTGCCTTGCCTGTGATCACGGGGCCACCGGACTTGTCATACTGATATCAGTACTTCTTTTGGTCCATTGTGACCATAATACGTACGCTGTTAGAGCTTGTAATCGTCGTCTTACCGTATGAGACATCAGGATCGTCAGAATCCATCGAGCTGCATTGAAGACATGTAAGTCCTATTCATGTTATGACACGCTTTGAGTGCACATACACCGCAGAGCCAATCGGACAGTTAATCGCGTTGACTTGAATTGTCCAGGTGTCAGTTGAACTGAAGCCCTCTGCATTTGGCCGGTCAGAAAAGACTCCAAATCAGGTCTGTAGCTGACGGGCACTCACGAGGAATTGTGACACTGCTACGTAAGACCTGAGTGGCTGCATCCGGGCTTGTCGTGTAACAAATATTCCTCCACGCGACGTAAGGGGTGCTCAGGACCCACGAGTTAAATTCTGCGCCCGTCGCGAACTCTCCGGACTCCTGGTGTGGCCACACGTACGGCATGCCTGTCGACGGGTCGAACCCGTCAGGCATGCACTCTGCAATAAGGCAGAAGTGGTCACTTCCGGAGGGAAGCGGGGGCAGGTTGACGCAGTTGAACGGCTTCTCAATAACCACGGGCTTGGCTCCCCCAGAAGTATTATATGGTTGGAACTCAGGCCCTGTAGAATCTCCGTTCGAGTCGTAGTCCAAGATGGAGTATTGTTCGTAGATAGATGGGTGAAGGAGAAGCCCACTCGGAACTGCAAAAAGGCGAGTCTGGCCTGACGTACTCTGAATAGTTGTGCCTCGAAGATACACGTAGTTAGACATTTCCTTGTCCAGTACCTGGGTTCCATTTATGTGAGATGCATGATAAAATTGAGACCGACGTATATTTCCCACTCACAATCGACCGTTGATCGCTGACATCGACGGTGTAGTTTGATCCTCCAAGAACCGAGTCTATGTTAGCAACGGCTTGGTGTCCAAGGGGTTGAATATCTACAAGCAAGCTAAGTTAGAATATCCATCGCTTGGGGAAAGACAAGCAACGCACCGGGCGAGTGGGATGCATTCTCATTTCTTGGGAACGTGTCCGTGTCGGATACCGATTCTCTGAAGTAGAACGGATAACCACTGCCCGTGGTGGCAGCAGCATTATACGTGTGGGCGGCAGCATTCATAAGTTTTCTAGCGGCGTGGCGCTTCAGCTGCTGCTTCACTCGCTTATCGGAGTGGAAGACGACATGTTCACCGCCCAATAAGACATATGTTTGCTGCCCGCCAGGCGCGTCGGCGGCGTAAGCTACTACCGAAATGGAAGAATAGTCGCTGAAGACTTGAGCCTTGTCGTTGAAAATATTGAGCATGAACATGCCGTCAAAGTTTGCCGGAACCGCAACCGCTAATGTAACCGAGTCGGAAGGGTATAAGGAAACACGTTGTTGAGTAAACGAGAAGGGCTTGTTGTCAGGCGTAGCGCCAAAGCAAGAAAACGAAACATCAATGTTGCTCGAGGGGGTTCCTACAGCCTGAAAGGAAATTATCAATAACTCAATCAATGCAAGAGTGTCGATAAACTGTGCGCACTTCAATGGAGAATACCATGTTGACAGTCTGAGCCGTATCCTCGAGGAGACGGAATCTTGTGGCCAGACTGACCGCAATAGAGGTCGGATCGGCGAATGTGCAGTTGTAGGTTGCCAAAGACAATTCCTGGCCGACGTAGGTGACCAAGTTGCGCCAATTGGTGACCTTGCTCGACAGCCCTTGGGGCGTGTTGGTCGTCGACGCAATGAAGGTAGCATGGCGACCCAGTCCCTGCGATGCGCTGTATGACATAGGAGTCGAAACCGCCACAACTATAAAATCAGAGTGTCAGCTTGATGCTTCAAAATTGTCGCGTAGAATTAGCCGTACCCTCTCCATCACTGGACGCGGTCAGTTGCGCATTCCCGAAGCCCTTGACGTTCTCCCAGATTTGGGGCCAAAGTATGAGCTCGTTCTGTACGGCTCGTAGAGTCACCGTTTCCTCGACAGGTCCAGAGCCGCTGGACACGACCGCTTCACCCCTGAGGTAAACCGGAGTGGAGCCATCGTCAGGATCAACATCGTGAGCAATAAACTGCTCGTAGGACGCGACAAGGTTGGCTGGATCGGCGTCTCCACCCAAAGGGATGATATCAGGGCTCTTTAGAATGTATTAGGGCTGATTAAAAGGTCATAGAATGAGCAATGAAGACGACATACAAATCCAGCCAACGAGTGAAGTCCTGCGACAAGATCCGTATTCAGGCCTAAATGGAGTTGTCAGCGAGTCCTCGAGGATAGAAGATAAACTCTTACTTGAGCGGAGATAAATCCCATTGGCAAGCGGTGTTGTAGTCATACTGAAAAATACTATGAAGTTGTGAGACTATTGGAGTTTGTGGGGTGAGGGGCAACCTCTGTACATGCCGTCTTTTATATGTTTCTGGTGGGCGTTTTAGTCAAGACAAAAATAGGTATTATGCACTTGGTCTAATAAAATGGAGCTTATGGAAGCAAAGAGACGAATTAACACGTACGCATGCATGACACCTGGTGACATGGAGGTGTTCAAGGAATTCCAGATCATCGGTAGCATGACCCATGTAAAGAAAATTTCAAAGTATTGAAGGAGCCCAGAACGCGGGCTTGTCTGCAAGAGAACCTCGCCACTGAGATTCTGTGGTACAGGCTGAATTAGAAGCGGAAACGAGGTCACCAGGGACATAGCGCTTGAAAATGGTTGAGTATTCTATACCAGCATCTACCGGCAAACCATATCCCCGACAGGTCGAAATTGGACTAACACACTGAGGTTATGAACGGACATTCACTTGGAACTCGCAGAACCAAGACGGTTTGATGCGAGATGATGGAAGAGGATGGTGATGCGGATTCTTACGATCCCGATAAGTTGAAATATTCATTGAAAGAAAGGTGCATTGGTCAAGAGCTCAATTTGAACCACAGTATAACAAGCTCTGTTGTGTTGAAAGTCAGCCCAACTGATAATATCGCCCCGCAAGAGGCACAAACATACAAAGGACTGATTTCAGTTGTATCCGACACTTCTTATAACACTTGATAAGTACCATCTTGTTAAATCAAGCTCTCCCTGATCTCCTGATATCTTCGAAATGGTATCCAACAGACATGGTCCATGGAAAGAATGCTCAGTAATTAGACAAGGGAGCGAATAAGCGAAATACCTTTACAATTCAATCCCTCTCCCGATCGTACTAAATACTTTCCAATCTACACAGAGATGATCGAAGTCCGAACGTTCGTGGTATGTCTCTTTAGGACCACCCAAGACGTGTAGAATACAATATAATTGACCCTGGATGGACTCATCATGCCTAGCACTTGCACATGATTTCCATCGCATGGAGTTTCAGCACCCAAGCAATTCCATGGCTGCTGTCATGATCAAGAGCGCCAAAGATGACCAGAGGCTACTCAACACGTACTTTGCGAATCTTATTGATTGACGCTGCAACTGGGACCACTGGCCATCTATCCTGGAAGATTGAAGTATCATTGCTATGCGCATATGGCTCGTTTCAGGCGACCAAATTGCCCCGTGATGTAGTCCACTTCCAAACCGCACGCATCCGTGGCAGCTAATTCCATGCGTTACATGGAAAGCAGAATCACATACCTGGCTTCGTATTCGAACAAGCGATCTATCAATGGATTCTAGATCCAACAATTCGGAAACCCCAGTCGTCGGTCGTCGGTCGACCGAGCGACCAAAGCGCTTACGTGAACACGCCGTCAGACGCATGTTAGCATCGCAGGGATATGTCGGGGAAGGTATCG